GGAAAATTTGGTTGATAAAATGATCAAAGTACGAATCAGATCAAATGCCACACAGAAATGTGCCTCCTGTCAAACCGCATCGGGGACTATTACTACATTAGCCAGGGTAAGACAAGAATACCGGGAGTCAACGATGCCTCAGAGATGGAGGATACGGACGTAAGTCCCTATCATGTCAAAAAAGCATGTTTCCTTGATCCGATACTTGAGTCACGAAATTTTTAAAAAATAGCTGCACCATCTGATAGCCAGAAAATTTACCATGGAAATGAGTATAAACACGATATCAATTGATCCCTTACTTTCCGAGATATCGAGAGATGTCGACGTGACAGCGACGCCGTCAAAAAAACGTTTTTTCAAATATCTCGGGAAGTATTAAAGCTACATCGACGAGTGATAAGTCAAATCTATCGGAAATTTTCTCAAGTTTTCAATGGTGCTGTCAAAATAATTTTTTTTTTCGTACCGTTCGAAGATATTTACGAAACTATACTCAATTGTTGGACAACACTGGTATTCTCTGATGTAATGATATCTAATAATTAATGAATGAGTCTATTTAATCTTAGTTGCAAGAGAATATTGAGTGATGAAGGAACATGGCTGTAATTAGTATTCTCTGCCCCCCGCTGCTGCGCAGCTTTCACGCCGCTGGTACCGGGGGGCGGGGAAAATTGGAATCCCCACATAATAATTATGTCCGCGCACAAACCAATCGTGGGGATTCCCCTGATATACTCGCTCCCCAGGTCGAAGCTCATTCTAATGGCTGTTCAATATAGGACTTTAGAATATCGCTAGGTTAAGAAGAATCATTGAATCAGATAACTATGATACATTATTAAATCTCGCTGTCATGTTTATTTTTATAATTTTTTCACCGTGAATTAATGAAATTATCAATTATTCACAGACATGTGTTTCTTATCGAATGACATTTACGACTATTACAACGTGGCCCAAGGAAAAATCACAATTCCAAATGTCGACGACGGTGAAGAGTTGAGGCTCACGGACGTAAGTCCAATTTACGGAAGACCCAATCGTTACCCCTGTAAATTTATCATTTTATTTCAAATTAAGACTGAACAAGTCTTAATTATCCTCAATTGTTACTAATCATTTTCACGTGTATCCTTATTGAAAAGTGAAAATATTTCAAGACGAACTCTTCAGACATGGAAGACTACAAACACCAGAAATTCTTTCAGGCATTAAAGATGTCTCTCTATCTTCACTATTTCCCCAAAAACCGAAAGTAAAATTTCGATTATTTCCCCACCAAAAGCCTCTGTAGGTTGAAAACAACCCCTTTCTACCCCTGAGTGGAAATTCAGTGAACGAATTAACAATTGTATATAATTTCTCTTATTCTAGAGCAATCGGAACACAAGTGTTCCAAAACCAAAAAATGGTACCTCTCGAAAAAAAAAAATCCAGTGATTTATAACCTCAGGTGACGATAATAAATGTGACAAAAAAACAGCCGACACAATTATGTAATTGCATGGAGATTACATAATTGAAGTTTAGGGAAGAAGCGGCTACATAACACAAGCTGTGCTTCTGCTTTTTGCTCAAGAAAAGGCT